TTTTTAGCTCCACTTATAGTGTCTGAAATTTGTTTCAAACTAATTCTTATCACATAATTGAAGACGGGGTTTCTCGAGTTGCTAGGCGATCGCCCCCTTTTATTCTTATCTTTTTATAGTCGTTCAAATCGGGCTTAAGTTACTCATTGTAGCGGGTAAGCCTAGCCTAGCCTGCTCTTGTTAGAGTACTGAGTGAAAGTACAGTTATCAAAATAAGAAATTAAAAGGACTATCCACTCATTAGTATGTAGGAAGACAGTTATTAACATATCAAAGGACACTTAATTAGTACGCAGGAAGGTACTGACTAGGCAATTAAACTGGAATGCAGGATGGAACTGACTAGGCACTTTTTAGGCACTTGGTAGGCCTTAAAATGGAGTAGATCATCCCTAAAACACAACTAACAAGGCTCAAATTAACAGAAATAAAAAAAAAACATAATAATAATAATAATAATAATAATAATAATAATAATTAAACGTCAACTCATGGTTCATCGGTTAAAAATGAATTGGAGATTTTTCTTAGGGAAAAACACTGAGCGAATAGATCTTATTAATGGAAGACTTTTGCTTAATATGTTTGAAGATTCACTACCAAAGAAAAAAAAAAAAACCCTTCCCCCGGCATAATTTAAGAACCACAATTTGTGCGAAAAATTGAAAAAAAAAGAAAAGAAAGAAATTCAATCAATCAATAAAAAGCGTGTAGGCAGCCGTGCGTCAATTTTGCATCCATTACTTACGCCGTCCGCTATTTCCCACGAAGGTACTTGACTGCTATTTTGAAAGGCTAATCTCAGTTTACAAACCGAAAAATGTCTCTCTTTCAATAGCAAAACAAATTACCCAACGGTAAAATAAGACATATATTATTCCGTTACTCACATTGATACTCATCTCATTACTCACATTTCATTGCTTCGTTGACATTGAGATATTATTTAGCATTTGTTGTTATCAAAGACAAAGCGTAAGACACAAGCACCTAGACAGGTCACGCATAACATAGTTTCACCTCCAGAAAAATTCCCAGCATTTGACAAACTGAGTGAGATGGAACACAAGAGCGACGAAGTTTGAAAAGTCCGAATTTACGTTTTAAGTGACGTTTTCGCTGCATCCTTACTGCATCATGATTTCTAGAGTGACGTTCACGGCAAGCGGCTAACGTCAAATTGACATATTATCATCTTGCAACGTCTACAACAGACATATTCGCAAGCTTCAAGTTGAGATTATCTAAAAATAGAACATGTGCTGCTAAAAACAGTCCAAAACAATTCTTATAGACAAAACTAACTCGAGACTACCAATTTTGTGAAGGGAAACCTTTCTCAAGTGGTAGAAGTTCACGTTTGCCGTTCACCGTAAAGGTGATGGAGTCTAAGGTTGCATTCTTTTTAGCCAAACCGTTTTCGGATTTGAACATTCCAGATTGCTTTGATTTTTGTGCCAGCCGGAACAATAATCTGAAGTAAGATTGATCCGGACATTAGATGCCTGCCGCTCCGATCTTCTTCTCAATTTCAACGTGCCGTTTTTTACTTCTTTCTGCTAAATTAAGCGTCTTCTCGTGGAGTAACCCAAAGAAAGTTAGCTTTTTGACTCGTGGTGGTTCATACTGGGACTCGTCAACTAAAATTATCTGGAATTTGATTCAAGGACATTCAGAAGACAAT